AAGACGTCTCTGGGCTGTGCCGCTGTATCATTAACATACTTTGCCCTAATTAGCCACGGCCAGTAGTGGCTGGAGAAATGAGTTTGTGATTACAACCATAAAAAATCCTCTAATATTTCAGATCCTTCAGGGAACTTGAACCTAGAATTTATTTTTTTGATTTAATAAAAATTACCCTTATCATTGTGTTGTGTAATTAACAACTAAACTTTGATTCTCCTCTCCCTCCCACTTATTTATTTTTCTTTATTCAGAGTTTTAAGTGTGTTCCTATTGTAAGGGAACAGTTTCTGCTCAGTCTTTTGAGACAATAGATAACAGAGTCACCACTCTGACAGGGCTCAGAGCACTGAGCTGTCCCACAGATCTGTAGGATTTGTCTTTAATTTGCTGAATGAATGGGTTTTGTTGTGAATTTTGGGGGGGTTGTGCCTAAGCACACTTCTTTCCTTCAATTTTTTGTAGGCTTGTGAACTTTTTTGACCATTTTATCAGCACTGGAACTTATCTTTATTGAGGCTGGTGCTCCAGTGTCTTTACCTCCAGGATGTGCCAGGAGATTGCTCAGAGTTCACACTCTGTGGTTCCTGGATCTTATTTCTTCTGGTACATTAGTTTAGTGCTCTACTGGCCTAAAGCTGAGAGTCAGCTTCACTCACACCAAAATATGATCTATGGAAAATGCTTTCTTGTTTGTTCTATGATTTTTCTTTCCCTCCCTGAGGGAGGGAAGCAGATGATGTGTTTGTTTTTCTAATTTTCATTTGCCTTTTTCATATCCCTTTATGGACAGGAGGAGACTGTTTGGCTCAAGCTTGCCATCCAAGCAACAGCTGTGAGCTCTGATCTCACCCTTTCTTTCAGTCCAGTTCTGTAGCATGGGGCATTCATGTCTAGATTTTTTTTGCTCCATCATTAATCCCTGAGGGAAGTCAGCTTGGTATTAAAAAAGCATCACCTGTATTTTCATTGCCCTTAGGTGCTCTGGGTATCTTTTGGCTTTCATCTTCAAAAGACAGCTTGGCCCATGTGGGCTCTGAAATCTATAGACTGCTCGTTGGAACAAATTTTATTTCACCCTCCAGCAGATTAAAAAGGATGGATATAAGAATCAGAAGAATTGCTTAGCAGAGTGGGAGGTAAAGAAGATTTGAAGTCCAAGAATGCAGCTGTCACCAAATGAATGGCATAAACTGAGTGTCCTTACAGATGGAATAAAGACACCTCAAAATGAATATATGAATGCCCCTGGCCTCGAGGAAAAGTGTTGGTTAACCCTCTGCAGAGAGCAGGAGAGCTTTATTTCAGAGCAGCATGTCAGCAATAGTTAAAGAACCAAATCATGTGTTCAGCCTGATGAAATCATAATGTTTAGGATTAACTTAAATGTCAGTGACTGCCTACACTGATGGTTATCAGGAGAAGAAATGAAGACAGAAAGGAGAGTGCATGAAGGAAATAAGCTCAGAGAACACTGAATGATGTAGTTGGGAACTAGCTGTTAACTGGAAGGCAACATGGAAACATTATTACCTGTAATTTTAATTTACAGGTAATAGCAATGATAGTAGGAAACAAATGAACTTCAGTATAGAAAGACCTTCCCTGAATAACTGGCCAGTAGAGCTCATTTAATTCTTGTTTAAGAGTTATTAAACATAAAGCAGGAAATACAACGACCCAGGCATAAGAACAAAAGTGTTCATTAGTAAAAATGTAAATTCTCTGTTTTATCTACAATGGGAAGGCAATTAAACGTGGGGTTAGAGGCTGAACCACAGGAGTTATAAATAAAAATAAAGCTTTGCTGGGACATGTACAGAACCAACAGGTTGGGAGGGGAAGGAGACAACCAACTGGTGCAGGAAGTCTCCATCTAGCAAAAGTGTTTTTCATCATTTCTGAAGTGATTTAGCAGGTGACAGCAAAT